CCCGCGGGGCACGCCGGGAGCAGGCGTTCTCCCGCTTGTTCTGCCCGGCGGGTTTCCCGCCGCCGAGGCTGTGGGCGGGGCGACTGTGGCGAGCTCGCGCCCGCGAGGGCGGGCCCCCGATGCTTCAACCCCAGTCTGTGCCCGTGCCATCTGTGCTGTGGCGAGCTGTTTGGGGCGAAAAACAGGGGTCGACCCTGACCAGCCTCTTTCCACAGTCCTCAGTACAGTCCTCAGTAACGTTGGCTCGGCTACACAGAAGTACAGAGTGCAACCACCTCTGACACTTGCACCAGCAGTGTGCAGCCACCTCTCGCACTTGGGCCACACTGAGCCTCGCCCCATCTTCGGATTCTTGACAGCCACCTGACTGCGGTCTTGTTAGTGCCCTCGCCCTTCCTGGGCTCGTCTATAGGCGAGCACTGCGCGAGTCCTTGCGGCCTGCGTCTAGGCCCAGGCGGCGTGGCCTCCCAGCGCCCACCTGCTACTCATGGGCTCTGCACCGGGCTCCATGCACTGATGCTCTGCGGCTCCCGCTTGGGGAGCTCCCCCACAAAGAGCTGGTTTTGTGTGCGGTGTTTCTAACCAGAGCCTCCCCTGTGTGAAATATTTCTTGAGCATAATGCATTATTTCCAAGCCCAGTGCAGTTGGTGGCTGCCCTCTTTTCTGCCATAGTACATATAAGGAAATAAATTCCAGGAAACACTTATTCACAGTCATTTATCATGAATGTTTTCCTAAATTGCGGTCTTAACAAACACTAATTGACTGCTAATGTTCTAGCTTTAAAAAAATATATTTACATGCCTGACAGTTCTCTAGTTTTAAGTGTACAATTCAATGATTTCTGGTAATTTTGCAACCATTCGTAACAATCACCATTTAAGTACATTTCTATTACCCCCAAATGAATACTGTCACTTCCCGTTCCTAACCCGGGCCATAGACAACAACTAACAGACCTTTCATCTCTATAGATTTAGGAGCCACCCCATGTAAATGGCGTCATACAACATGAGGTCTCCCACCTGGCTTCTTGCACTTGGGGTGTTTTTGAGATTCATCCAGGTGGTGGCCTGCTTCAGTACTCTGTTCCTTCTTATAACTCATTTCTTTTTATTGCTGAATCCTACGCATTTGTGCATGCAACTTGGTGTATCCTTCCACCAGCTGAAGAACTTCTGGCTTGCTTCCACTTTTTGGCTCTAAGGAATAATGTCAAACCATTCAGAGCAGAAGGTGATGTGACAACAGAGACAGAGAAATTTGAGGATGATAAGCTGCTGACCCAGAAGATGGAGGAAGGAATCCCCAACCAAGAAATGTAAAGAATAAAGCTCTAGAAGAAGGAAACAAACAAACAACAACAAAAAAAAAAAAAAAAAAAGGAGGAAGGAAGGAGGGAAGGAAAGGGTGTTTTTCCCCTCCCAGACTCCAGATGGAGCCTTCGCTGACAGCACCTG